TAGTGTACATCTACCTTTGCTATGTTCCACATTCATTAATGAAGTGTCCACCTACTCAGATCACAAAGAGAGGCAGGGAATAGGGTTGTTGAACTACAGCTGTTTGATACTGGATCACTTTGGGGAAAACATGACTTTGTTCCTCATCCCTATTCACCTTTAGTTCAGTCATCATCATGAAGATCTGGATTGTATCTGTGCTGCTGTGTGCTGCCTTTGTTCTGCAGACCACAGGTAAGAGACTTATGACAAAATATGGCATTTATAGTCAGAAAAAAACAAACCATGGCTGGTCAGCTGCAGCTTGCAGTAATTAATGATACATACAGAGTGAGTGTAAGTTAAATTTATAAGATTACTGAGAAATGCTTGTCATTTCTCCAGAGGGAGCAGTTGTGGCTGAACGTGAGCAGAATTTGAATGAAATTCCAGGTTAGTGTCCATCATTAAAGTTTGGGATATAAAAGGATATAAAGAATTTTACTTGTCTACTAAAACAAAATCTCCTGGACTAGTACCACACTATTTAATGGGTAAACCTCTAATTTTGTCCTATTTCTATATTATACAGCAACATTATTTTTTCACACATGCAGGATGTGGAGGTTAACCTCTTAAATGGCCTTAAAACGTTTTCTTACACACTTCTATAACCTAAGAATAGTTTAGCCAGTTTACACAGAAGTCCCTGTAGTTACTGAATAATAAGCCTTAGTATGTAATAAGCCTGGGATTTTAAGGGGTTAAGTACATTGTGGCTGTCCTGACCTTACAATAATATTTCTTAGTAGAAAGTCTAAAGGCTGAAAATGGAGCGGAAGATCTCTCTCTGGGAGGTATGTATACAATTTAAAAAGCTCAATTAAATTTTTAAAAAGCTAAAGTAGTCTTTTAAACAATGTTCATTCTTTGGTTTATTTCTACAGGGGAAGCTGGTGAACTGAGTGTTGAGGAGCTGGTTGCTGCAGGTCAGTCATACTTCTGCAAATAAATGCAATAGTTAAAAATGGCATTGTATTACTCCATTAAGTAAACTGCACTTGTTCATTAAAAAGACAACCTACATTACTTCTTGTAGTCTTTGTCATCTTGTAGTGCAGTCCTTGTCATCATTTCAACAACTGTAAACAATCTACATTACATACTAATATTAAATTTGAAAATGTTCTTTTTTCATGATATATGTTGTTAGGAGTGGTCTTTATACCTGCCAGAAATATCAGTGCTATATTAGGAATATTACCACCTTCTTCAGAGAAATAAAAATGTGTTTTCCATTAACATCAGCTGTTATTCCTTTCAAAAACTCATTATATCCCAAATTATTACGAATGGATATACAGCATTTCAGAATGAAACTTAAGATCAAGATCATTTCTCTTTACAGCTGATGATGAGAGACAAGACAGTGGACCAGTGAACTTGATTGCAGGTAATTTCAATGACCAAGTCAATAAAACGTTTCATTTTGGTGAAAGCATTTCTAAGTGATAAGTTTCTGTTAAATCCAAATTACTGTGGTTAAAACAGAGCTGCATCTTGTCTTTTTGTGCAAAGATCGGGCAGTGCTCTGTCCACCTGGCTGGTTTAGACACGGATCACGCTGTTTTCTGCTTGTGAAGACAACAATGACATGGCTTAGTGCTGAGGTAAATATCTGCCTTCACTTGCCAAAATTTCTCTTACAAACACAATCATAACTGGCGGTTGTTCTGTGCTCGGAGTGCCAGTAGCAATGGCAGGGGTGTGACACAGGAATTTTCTTCCTCTATTTTTTCATAACCACACATTATTCTCTACTCCAGTACAAATTTTTAGGGGTGCATATCTTTTGTGGAATGAAAAGAGTTTGATATTGAGAGTCAACATTATTAAAAAACATACCATTCTGTCATGTTGTCTGTTTTTTTTCTTCATTTCATTCATGTACTTTCTCTCTCTCCAGAGCCACTGTGTGAATAACCAGGCTAGTCTGGCTTCTGTGCGGAATCCTGATGAATATAACTTCCTCCAGAGTTTGCTTACAATCGCTGGTATATCAACTGCTTGGATTGGTGCTTACAACTTTCAGGTAATATGTTCATAAAGTGATGACAACTGACTTTACATTTCCCTTCTCACTTTACACATTTAAAACGTGCTCTGGCAATACGCATGGAAGACCACAGATTCCCCTCTAACTCCTAAAACCACCCTGAATGAGCTCATAAACATGATAAATGACCACTTATTAAATGAGTTTAGTTTGAACATGCACACAAACAAAAATGTTTTTTCAAAAATGAAATCATTATCATTTTAAGATTATTGTGTAAAGCCATACAACAGGTACCAATGAGATTTTTTAAGTCCAATTATTTAACTCCTCGCACATTGTACTAATTGTTTTCAATAGCACATACTTTAATGAATAATTACTGTTGAATTACAGCTGACTTAAGACATTCCTGTGAAGTCCTCTAGTAACTGTGTGAATTGTGTTTTATCCAGAGCACATGGATGTGGATTGACAGGGCAGGATTCTTCTACACTAACTGGCAGTCACTGAGCAGCGTGTCCAGCTACCCCTGCGCCTACATGAGATCCACTGGTAACTTTAATTTATCAGTTTAACACCCATTTGCACTGCTGTCTGCTTTCATTCAGATGAAACGTGTTTTCTAAATTCTCTCTCTCTCTCTTTTCAGCTGGCTGGGCAAACACAAACTGTGGAAGTGGATATGCCTTTTTCTGTTCTGTGACCCCTACAACCTGCTGAAGATCACATATGTACATTTCCATCAAAATGAAGGAATATCATTTGACCCCTAACTGTAAATAGACTTACTATATGTCAACATGAAAAGTACTAATGTATGTATAGTTTTGCATTTGTTCTGAGAATATTTGGTTGACTGATGTGTTTATGTTATCATAAAAAATAAAAAATATAAAATGAATGAAACTGTGATCATTTATTGCAATGTGTTCATGTAAGGATCACTCATGAGCTTACTGATAATGATTAACAAAGAACAATCATTCAGCACATAAATGAGGAAAGACAGAACAGAACGTGTAGAGAACAGACCTCCTCAAAACAGGTCTGTGTCTGTCAAGACATCTTACTTTGAAAAGTTAAACGCTTTTGGCCTTGGCATTAATTCTTTTCCTGGGGAATTATTTGATTACATTTTTGGCTTTAAGCCCTTGATATGTGTTATTTTAAATGGTCGCTGCTCCTTACTTATTTGTATAATATGTGTTGATGCAAATAAAAAATAAAAAATGGCATATTGTATCCGCTAAAGGACGCACGACACCACAGTTTATTGACCTCCTAGCGCAAATCGTATCGGCTTCACAGAGCAAACTGGTTTATGTTGTAGCAGCAGTTAAGTTCATGCCTAAAAGGAACACTTTCATTACATGATTAATTAAATATTGCTGCATACAATTAAAGCCATTTTTGATTTCTGTATAACATATGCGTAAGCTGTCGGGCTGTGAACTGGAATTGAAGTTTGTGGTTCAGCAAACACCTCTGAAACAGTCTGTTGTGTCTCTGTCCAACACTCCTAGCCAGCTCTGTATACTTACATAGAACTTATACAGAACTCAGAATTACAGTATTCTGTCCTCACACTGCACAAAACTCTCCATCTTTATCCTGTTCTGCTAGCTGACTAATGAAATGGATTACTGAAAGAGTAGATCTTAAGTGAGCGTGATTGAGGGAAAACTGGTACTAGTGTTATTTAACAATCAACAACTGTTTTCAGTAAATCAGTATTTCTATATCTGCTGACTAGACAACAGATTTTATTATGCCATATCCTCTGTGATGTTATCACTGACTTTACGCGCTGCTTTTAGATCACAACCATCATAAAAAGAGCAGAGGGGTATTAGGAAATGCCTGCCATCCACCCAGTCAAAGAAAATGACAAACATAGATTAGTAAAGCACCTCCTACACCTTTCCACCCCCTAGATTAATGTAATATCACATAAGATATCTATAAATAATATTTTCATTCCAACCATATGTGAGATTTATACACCCAGTAGTCCTGGATGTATCAAAAACATGAAGGATAAAAAGCATTAACCAGTAAAATAGTGGAAAATAAGTTAACAAAACTGAAAATTGGAGCTCCTAGCTTCATCTCTCTGGTTAAAAAATAAATAAATACTAACATGAAGCACTAATAAATTAGCATTGCATATAGTAAGTGGTAAGCATGCCACACCCACACCCCCCACCCCCACATACAACTATGTAATCAGTCTTCTGAATACATGATGGTGCCCGGGCTGATTTAATCATTGATGAGAGGTCATTAAGGGTGTTTTCACAGTGAGAGTGAAGGGTAAAAACAAAATGCTTATCCATTTCCTTATTACAGATATAAACTACAAAGAGAGCGGACATGTAAGTCATAAACTGAACACAGCAGAGTGACTGATGTCAGTGCTGTATGTCTCCCAGTATTTACAAAGCACATAAGTGTGCATGGCCACTGATTTAGATGCAAGTCATCATAAACAATTAAATAAGGAGCGATTTCAAATCATTTGTCACGTTTTCACATGTAAACAACAGATTAATAATTAAATAATACATCACACTACATACATTACATACAATATATGTCCATCTGCACTGAGAATTGAAATGTTATAAAGCAGTATGTTAAAAAAACGAACGCTTCTTGTTAAAAAACAGAACAGTTCAGAGGATGCAGAGTAAAACTGATTTGCAATCATTAGCACTGACAGAACTAGCGATAGAATAAAATTTTGTGGAGAATTATTTTTCCTGAGACAACTAAACTGCATACACACACGTTTTGCTCCCCACGTGCAGGTGACAGTTCGTGTGCAACACTTGGCTGGTTAAGTTAGTGTTAATTATTATTATACCTAAATAAGCATGTAATATACAAGAAAACAGAAATGTTTTATCATTTGCTTGTTATCTAATCATAATTGTTGACTGTTTCCTGGTACAGAGAGCGTAAAATAGGGACAGTGTGGTATATAAGGCACACTGCAAAGCCATCTCATCAGATTACACTTAACCTGCCACAGAGATACAACCTGACAACTACCAGTAAGGCTGCAGGTAAGAAGTTCTTCTTTTTCTTCACTGACACAGAAATTTGTTTTTCTAAGTCTACATTAAAGAGGAATTCCATTGATCTTTCAAAACATCTGCATAATTAAATTGTTAAAATTTGAACAGAGTCATTCAGGGTGGTTTGATGTGAAATGCTCCATTGTAAAGAAACTTTCTGAGTCGGAATGCTTTAAAGTGGTGTTGAGAAACCAGATTTCCAGAGTAATAAATGGCTCTAAAAGCTGCATCGCAGAAAGAAAATGGCTGATACATGAAACATTGTTTTACTTTCGTTTTGAGATACATATATTTTGGCCTAAAGCCTTTTTTTTTAAATCACATTATGGTGAAGTAATACAAGCAGGGTGCTGTAAGTCAAAAAGCTCCCCAGAGATAATGTATCTTTTCAGATTTACCACTATTTACCATCAACACTGAATAGAAAACTTAGAAGACAACAAATGTTATGTTAGATAATAAACAATAAACAGCTATATTTGCATTGTGTACTTATTGTACATCTCAACCATTTAATTATGTAGAAATACATTTTGAAAAATCAAAATTCCTCTTTAAGTGTGGACTGAGGGCTAAAATACACAGTATTGGTGACTTTTTAAAAAGTAGTGTACATCTACCTTTGCTATGTTCCACATTCATTAATGAAGTGTCCACCTACTCAGATCACAAAGAGAGGCAGGGAATAGGGTTGTTGAACTACAGCTGTTTGATACTGGATCACTTTGGGGAAAACATGACTTTGTTCCTCATCCCTATTCACCTTTAGTTCAGTCATCATCATGAAGATCTGGATTGTATCTGTGCTGCTGTGTGCTGCCTTTGTTCTGCAGACCACAGGTAAGAGACTTATGACAAAATATGGCATTTATAGTCAGAAAAAAACAAACCATGGCTGGTCAGCTGCAGCTTGCAGTAATTAATGATACATACAGAGTGAGTGTAAGTTAAATTTATAAGATTACTGAGAAATGCTTGTCATTTCTCCAGAGGGAGCAGTTGTGGCTGAACGTGAGCAGAATTTGAATGAAATTCCAGGTTAGTGTCCATCATTAAAGTTTGGGATATAAAAGGATATAAAGAATTTTACTTGTCTACTAAAACAAAATCTCCTGGACTAGTACCACACTATTTAATGGGTAAACCTCTAATTTTGTCCTATTTCTATATTATACAGCAACATTATTTTTTCACACATGCAGGATGTGGAGGTTAACCTCTTAAATGGCCTTAAAAACGTTTTCTTACACACTTCTATAACCTAAGAATAGTTTAGCCAGTTTACACAGAAGTCCCTGTAGTTACTGAATAATAAGCCTTAGTATGTAATAAGCCTGGGATTTTAAGGGGTTAAGTACATTGTGGCTGTCCTGACCTTACAATAATATTTTTAGTAGAAAGTCTAAAGGCTGAAAATGGAGCGGAAGATCTCTCTCTAGGAGGTATGTATACAATTTAAAAAGCTCAATTAAATTTTTAAAAAGCTAAAGTAGTCTTTTAAACAATGTTCATTCTTTGGTTTATTTCTACAGGGGAAGCTGGTGAACTGAGTGTTGAGGAGCTGGTTGCTGCAGGTCAGTCATACTTCTGCAAATAAATGCAATAGTTAAAAATGGCATTGTATTACTCCATTAAGTAAACTGCACTTGTTCATTAAAAAGACAACCTACATTGCTTCTTGTAGTCTTTGTCATCTTGTAGTGCAGTCTTTGTCATCATTTCAACAACTGTAAACAATCTACATTACAAACTAATACTAAATTTGAAAATGTTCTTTTTTCATGATATATGTTGTTAGGAGTGGTCTTTATACCTGCCAGAAATATCAGTGCTATATTAGGAATATTACCACCTTCTTCAGAGAAATAAAAATGTGTTTTCCATTAACATCAGCTGTTATTCCTTTCAAAAACTCATTATATCCCAAATTATTACGAATGGATATACAGCATTTCAGAATGAAACTTAAGATCAAGATCATTTCTCTTTACAGCTGATGATGAGAGACAAGACAGTGGACCAGTGAACTTGATTGCAGGTAATTTCAATGACCAAGTCAATAAAACGTTTCATTTTGGTGAAAGCATTTCTAAGTGATAAGTTTCTGTTAAATCCAAATTACTGTGGTTAAAACAGAGCTGCATCTTGTCTTTTGTGCAAAGATCGGGCAGTGCTCTGTCCACCTGGCTGGTTTAGACACGGATCACGCTGTTTTCTGCTTGTGAAGACAACAATGACATGGCTTAGTGCTGAGGTAAATATCTGCCTTCACTTGCCAAAATTTCTCTTACAAACACAATCATAACAGGGGGTTGTTCTGTGCTCGGAGTGCCAGTAGCAATGGCAGGGGTGTGACACAGGAATTTTCTTCCTCTATTTTTTCATAACCACATATTATTCTCTACTCCAGTACAAATTTTTAGGGGTGCATATCTTTTGTGGAATGAAAAGAGTTTGATATTGAGAGTCAACATTATTAAAAAACATACCATTCTGTCATGTTGTCTGTTTTTTTTTTCTTCATTTCATTCATGTACTTTCTCTCTCTCCAGAGCCACTGTGTGAATAACCAGGCTAGTCTGGCTTCTGTGCGGAATCCTGATGAATATAACTTCCTCCAGAGTTTGCTTACAATCGCTGGTATATCAACTGCTTGGATTGGTGCTTACAACTTTCAGGTAATATGTTCATAAAGTGATGACAACTGACTTTACATTTCCCTTCTCACTTTACACATTTAAAACGTGCACTGGCAATACGCATGGAAGACCACAGATTCCCCTCTAACTCCTAAAACCACCCTGAATGAGCTCATAAACATGATAAATGACCACTTATTAAATGAGTTTAGTTTGAACATGCACACAAACAAAAAAAAATATTTTTCAATATTTACATCATTTATAAGACTATCGTGTAAAGCCATACATCAGGTACCAATGAGATTTTTTAGCAAAATAATTCAAGTTTGTTGCAATAAAATTATTTAACTCCTCACACATTGTACTAATTGTTTTCAATAGTACATACTTTAAGGAATAATTACTGTTGAATTACAGCTGACTTAAGACATTCCTGTGAAGTCCTCTAGTAACTGTGTGAATTGTGTTTTATCCAGAGCACATGGATGTGGATTGACAGGGCAGGATTCTTCTACACTAACTGGCAGTCACTGAGCAGCGTGTCCAGCTACCCCTGCGCCTACATGAGATCCACTGGTAACTTTAATTTATCAGTTTAACACCCATTTGCACTGCTGTCTGCTTTCATTCAGATGAAACGTGTTTTCTAAATTCTCTCTCTCTCTCTTTTCAGCTGGCTGGGCAAACACAAACTGTGGAAGTGGATATGCCTTTTTCTGTTCTGTGACCCTACAACCTGCTGAAGATCACATATGTACATTTCCATCAAAATGAAGGAATATCATTTGACCCCTAACTGTAAATAGACTTACTATATGTCAACATGAAAAGTACTAATGTATGTATAGTTTTGCATTTGTTCTGAGAATATTTGGTTGACTGATGTGTTTATGTTATCATAAAAAATAAAAAATATAAAATGAATGAAACTGTGATCATTTATTGCAATGTGTTCATGTAAGGATCACTCATGAGCTTACTGATAATGATTAACAAAGAACAATCATTCAGCACATAAATGAGGAAAGACAGAACAGAACGTGTAGAGAACAGACCTCCTCAAAACAGGTCTGTGTCTGTCAAGACATCTTACTTTGAAAAGTTAAACGCTTTTGGCCTTGGCATTAATTCTTTTCCTGGGGAATTATTTGATTACATTTTTGGCTTTAAGCCCTTGATATGTGTTATTTTAAATGGTCGCTGCTCCTTACTTATTTGTATAATATGTGTTGATGCAAATAAAAAATAAAAAATGGCATATTGTATCCGCTAAAGGACGCACGACACCACAGTTTATGACCTCCTAGCGCAAATCGTATCGGCTTCACAGAGCAAACTGGTTTATGTTGTAGCAGCAGTTAAGTTCATGCCTAAAAGGAACACTTTCATTACATGATTAATTAAATATTGCTGCATACAATTAAAGCCATTTTTGATTTCTGTATAACATATGCGTAAGCTGTCGGGCTATGAACTGGCATTGAAGTTTGTGGTTCAGCAAACACCTCTGAAACAGTCTGTTGTGTCTCTGTCCAACACTCCTAGCCAGCTCTGTATACTTACATAGAACTTATACAGAACTCAGAATTACAGTATTCTGTCCTCACACTGCATAAAACTCTCCATCTTTATCCTGTTCTGCTAGCTGACTAATGAAATGGATTAGTGAAAGAGTAGATCTTAAGTGAGCGTGATTGAGGGAAAACTGGTACTAGGGTTATTTAACAATCAACAACTGTTTTCAGTAAATCAGTATTTCTTTATCTGCTGACTAGACCACAGATTTTATTATGCCATATCCTCTGTGATGTTATCACTGACTTTACGTGCTGCTTTTAGATCACAAACATCATAAAAAAAGGAGAGGGGTATGAGGAAATGCCTGCCATCCACCCAGTCAAAGAAAATGACAAACATAGATTAGTAAAGCACCTCCTACACCTTTCCACCCCCTAGATTAGTGTAATATCACATAAGATATCTATAAATGATATTTTCAATCCAACCATATGTGAGATTTATACACCCAGTAGTCCTGGATGTATCAAAAATATGAAGGATAAAAAGCATTAACCAGTAAAATAGTGGAAAATAAGTTAACAAAACTGAAAATTGGAGCTCCTAGCTTCATCTCTCTGGTTAAAAAAAAATAAATACTAACATGAGGCACTAATAAATTAGCATTGCATATAGTAAGTGGTAAGCATGCCACACCCACACCCCCCACCCCCACATACAACTATGTAATCAGTCTTCTGAATACATGATGGTGCCCGGGCTGATTTAATCATTGATGAGAGGTCATTAAGGGTGTTTTCACAGTGAGAGTGAAGGGTAAAAACAAAACGCTTATCCATTTCCTTATTACAGATATAAACTACAAAGAGAGCGGACATGTAAGTCATAAACTGAACACAGCAGAGTTACTGATGTCAGTGCTGTATGTCACCCCGTATTTATAAAGCACATAAGTGTACATGGCCACTGATTTAGATGCAAGTCATCATAAACAATTAAATAAGGAGCAATTTCAAATCATTTCAGTCACGTTTTCACATGTATACAACAGATTAATAATTAAATAATACATCACACTACATACATTACATACAATATATGTCCATCTGCACTGAGAATTGAAATGTTATAAAGCAGTATGTTAAAAAAACGAACGCTTCTTGTTAAAAAACAGAACAGTTCAGAGGATGCAGAGTAAAACTGATTTGCAATCATTAGCACTGACAGAACTAGCGATAGAATAAAATTTTGTGGAGAATTATTTTTCCTGAGACAACTAAACTGCATACACACACGTTTTGCTCCCCACGTGCAGGTGACAGTTCGTGTGCAACACTTGGCTGGTTAAGTTAGTGTTAATTATTATACCTAAATAAGCATGTAATATACAAGAAAACAGAAATGTTTTATCATTTGCTTGTTATCTAATCATGATCGTTGACTGTTTCCTGGTACAGAGAGCGTAAAATAGGGACAGTGTGGTATATAAGGCACACTGCAAAGCCATCTCATCAGATTACACTTAACCTACCACAGAGATACAACCTGACAACTACCAGTAAGGCTGCAGGTAAGAAGTTCTTCTTTTTCTTCACTGACACAGAAATTTGTTTTTCTAAGTCTACATTAAAGAGGAATTTCATTGATCTTTCAAAACATCTGCATAATTAAATTGTTAAAATTTGAACAGAGTCATTCAGGGTGGTTTGATGTGAAATGCTCCATTGTAAAGAAACTTTCTGAGTCGGAATGCTTTAAAGTGGTGTTGAGGAACCAGAATCCCAGAGTAATAAATGGCTCTAAAAGCTGCATCGCAGAAAGAAAATGGCTGATACCTGAAACATTGTTTTACTTTTGTTTTGAGATACGATTTTGGCCTGAAGCCTTTTTTTTTAAATCACATTATGGTGAAGTAATACAAGCAGGGTGCTGTAAGTCAAAAAGGTCCCAGAGAAAACGTATCTTTTCAGATTTACCACTATTTACCATCATCAGCATTGAATAGAAAACTTAGAAGACAACAAATGTTATGTTAGATAATAAACAATAAACAGCTATATTTGCATTGTAAAGATTCCTGATCTCCACCACTGTAAAAAAAAAAAAATCAGAATACTTTCTCTACAGTGCACCTTTTTTGCATCAAACCACTCTAAGTGACTTTGTATACATCTCAACCATTTAATTATGTAGAAATACATTTTGAAAAACCAAAATTCCTCTTTAAGTGTGGACTGAGGGCTAAAATACACAGTATTGGTGACTTTTTAAAAAGTAGTGTACATCTACCTTTGCTATGTTCCACATTCATTAATGAAGTGTCCACCTACTCAGATCAAAAAGAGAGGCAGGGAATAGGGTTGTTGAACTACAGCTGTTTGATACTGGATCACTTTGGGGAAAACATGACTTTGTTCTTCATCCCTATTCACCTTTAGTTCAGTCATCATCATGAAGATCTGGATTGTATCTGTGCTGCTGTGTGCTGCCTTTGTTCTGCAGACCACAGGTAAGAGACTTATGACAAAATATGGCATTTATAGTCAGAAAAAAACAAACCATGGCTGGTCAGCTGCAGCTTGCAGTAATTAATGATACATACAGAGTGAGTGTAAGTTAAATTTATAAGATTACTGAGAAATGCTTGTCATTTCTCCAGAGGGAGCAGTTGTGGCTGAACGTGAGCAGAATTTGAATGAAATTCCAGGTTAGTGTCCATCATTAAAGTTTGGGATATAAAGGGATATAAAGAATTTTACTTGTCTACTAAAACAAAATCTCCTGGACTAGTACCACACTATTTAATGGGTAACCTCTAATTTTGTCCTATTTCTATATTATACAGCAACATTATTTTTTCACACATGCAGGATGTGGAGGTTAACCTCTTAAATGGCCTTAAAACGTTTTCTTACACACTTCTATAACCTAAGAATAGTTTAGCCAGTTTACACAGAAGTCCCTGTAGTTACTGAATAATAAGCCTTAGTATGTAATAAGCCTGGGATTTTAAGGGGTTAAGTACATTGTGTCTGTCCTGACCTTACAATAATATTTTTTAGTAGAAAGTCTAAAGGCTGAAAATGGAGTGGAAGATCTCTCTCTAGGAGGTATGTATACAATTTAAAAAGCTCAATTAAATTTTTAAAAAGCTAAAGTAGTCTTTTAAACAATGTTCATTCTTTGGTTTATTTCTACAGGGGAAGCTGGTGAACCGAGTGTTGAGGAGCTGGTTGCTGCAGGTCAGTCATACTTCTGCAAATAAATGCAATAGTTAAAAATGGCATTGTATTACTCCATTAAGTAAAACTGCACTTGTTCATTAAAAAGACAACCTACATTACTTCTTGTAGTCTTTGTCATCTTGTAGTGCAGTCTTTGTCATCATTTCAACAACTGTAAACAATCTACATTACAAACTAATACTAAATTTGAAAATGTTCTTTTTTCATGATATATGTTGTTAGGAGTGGTCTTTATACCTGCCAGAAATATCAGTGCTATATTAGGAATATTACCACCTTCTTCAGAGAAATAAAAATGTGTTTTCCATTAACATCAGCTGTTATTCCTTTCAAAAACTCATTATATCCCAAATTTTTACGAATGGATATACAGCATTTCAGAATGAAACTTAAGATCAAGATCATTTCTCTTTACAGCTGATGATGAGAGACAAGACAGTGGACCAGTGAACTTGATTGCAGGTAATTTCAATGACCAAGTCAATAAAACGTTTCATTTTGGTGAAAGCATTTCTAAGTGATAAGTTTCTGTTAAATCCAAATTACTGTGGTTAAAACAGAGCTGCATCTTGTCTTTTTGTGCAAAGATCGGGCAGTGCTCTGTCCACCTGGCTGGTTTAGACACGGATCACGCTGTTTTCTGCTTGTGAAGACAACAATGACATGGCTTAGTGCTGAGGTAAATATCTGCCTTCACTTGCCAAAATTTCTCTTACAAACAGAATCATGACTGGCGGTTGTTCTGTGCTCGGAGTGCCAGTAGCAATGGCAGGGGTGTGACACAGGAATTTTCTTCCTCTATTTTTTCATAACCACACATTATTCTCTACTCCAGTACAAATTTTTAGGGGTGCATATCTTTTGTGGAATGAAAAGAGTTTGATATTGAGAGTCAACATTATTAAAAAACATACCATTCTGTCATGTTGTCTGTTTTTTTTTCTTCATTTCATTCATGTACTTTCTCTCTCTCCAGAGCCACTGTGTGAATAACCAGGCTAGTCTGGCTTCTGTGCGGAATCCTGATGAATATAACTTCCTCCAGAGTTTGCTTACAATCGCTGGTATATCAACTGCTTGGATTGGTGCTTACAACTTTCAGGTAATATGTTCATAAAGTGATGACAACTGACTTT